TCTCTCTCACTCTCTCTCTCTCTCTCTCTCTCTCTCTCTCTCTCTCTCTCTCTCTCTCTCTCTCTCTCTCTCTCTCTCTCTCTCTTCTTCCTTCTGTCGTAGATCTGAGAAAAATTAATTAAAAAAAAAAAATAAAAACAATAATCAATCTCAACCGTTCATTCAATATTGTCCAAGGGTGCAGATTGTAATCCATACCATAAACAACAACTAACCAATAGGAAAAAAGGGCGAGGATTGATACAAGAGTGATTTTGGGCCTTTGATTCTAATCAATCAATGGTTTAGAAAAAACAATACAAATTGTCTTCTAATTTTGTTTATAACTAATATAAAAATTATTTAATCTTTAAATATTTTGATATGATAATTTAAAATTTAAAATTTAAAATTTAAAATTTAAAATTTAAAATTTAAAATTTAAAATCTATATTATGTATTTGAAATTTTTTATTTATTTACAGAATTATTATTTATTTAAAAATTAAGATTTAATGTTTTATGATATATGTTAAAATGAGATATGTGGTTTAGGGGTTAGGGTTACAATTTAAAATTAAGTATATGATTTGAGTTTAAAAATATATTTGAAGCTTAAATTTAAAGTTTAGATTACAAGTTCGTACAAATTGGATTTATAATTTTGTATTTAGAGTTTAAGTTTGGGGTATAAGGTATTAGATATAGGGTGTGGATTTAAAGATTTAGTGTATGAGTAGTTATAAGGTTTATTTAAGATTGGCTTTATGATTTGGTATTTTTTCATCATTTAGTATAAAATAAATGTTAGAAATATTAAATGTTATGATTTAGTAATTCTTGTATAGAGTTTGGAATATGATATAGGGTTTGGGGTTATAAGTAGGGCTAGGGGTATATGTTGAGGTTTATATAAATTTGAGATTTAACTTTTAAATTTATTAAATTTTGAGTTTAATTTTAAGATTGAAGTTTTAAAAATTTTGTTTAGGGGTTTAAATTCTATAATTATATATAGATTAAGACTTTAATACAAGAAGAAACTTCAAAGAGATTAGTTTCTACTAAAATTTTGTTAAGGGGTTTAAATTCTAGAATTAAAAATTTTAAAATTGAAGATTTATGTATAAAAGAATTATAATCTTATGAATATGTTAGTATGAGGCATGTGGTTTAGGGTTTTGATAAGATTTAGAATTTACTATATGGTTTAAGTTTGGGAATATATTTGGAGTTTTAGTTTTAAATTTTTATAATAAGTTTAAAAAGATTAGATTTATGACTTTGTATATCGGAATTAAGTTTGGGTTTAGGGTATTATATTTAGGGTATAAGTTTGTCGTTTAGGGTTTCATTTTTTTAATTTGCAAATCATCAAAATTTTCTTACAAATTTACACATTTAGGGTATAAGTTTGTGGTTTAGGGTTTCATTTCTAATTGCATTTCATTAAAATTTCATATATATAACTTTATATTCCATAAATTATCCAAAAATACATCATTTTTATAGCATAACTTATCCAAAAATACATACCAAGTCTAATACTAACTCAACCTAGTACATAACTTCAAAACTTGCAAAAGAACTTTCACAATAGTCTCCATCATCTCCTCCATGTTCTGTATTAATTTTCTGAGCCAATGAACCCCTGTCCATGTTCTGTTCTTCTTGCGAGACACTGGGGCAGGTCTCCTTTTGCTTTAGAAGTAGAATCCGGTGAGAGTATTGAACCATCGGATGCCTCCCTTTTGACTCATCTGCAGCACCATCTACACATTTTCCAGAAACCTTTTTCCATAACTGTAGCGCCTCTGTCACAAGACTGTTTACTCTGTCCCAGAAAATATCATCACAAGACTGTTTTGGGAATAAAATCTCACCGCAGGAGCTGCATCTAAGGCTCCGTCTGCAGTTGAAAAAGTCACATATGAGTCATAACTAGTACCAAACAGCTTATGAAAGAAGACCAACCTTGTCTTAAGAGCAAGTTTTCTCATTTGAATACACATATGAGTCATTTTAGTCAGTCTTTTTTTGATCGTGTGCTGTAATAACTTAGGCTAGTAAAACTACCACACACACACACAAGAAAAATAAACAGAATAAAACTTCCTCTTGTTGCATCAATATATGTACACGGTGAGCTCACTTACCAAGTGCTTGTCAATGGTTTCAAGGGCTTTCTCGTAGTTCCTAGGCAGCTTCACCCTCTCCCACAATTTCTTAGGCATATGGGCTTTTTCTATAGTATACATAGACAAATAAAAATCACCTTTTTTTGCAAACACAGAGACAAAATTAGAGTTCTATTTGATCCAACAAACACGAACGTTTACCACTTTCATCACTTACAGCTCAAACCTAAAACAAAGAAAAAGATAAAAAGAAACCCTATAATTTTGCAATGAAACTAACTTTGCAGAAACTTAACATCATCTGCCACCAAAAGATTCACGAGCAATCAGATGAGAAACACAGCTACAACAATTCATATATGCTAGGGTTTCGAGGTGAAGAACATCTATACAGGTTAGAAGCAATGGACGTCATATGGCAGAGAAGCTCGGGATCTGAGCCGTCGTCCTCTTCCTTTGTCTTCTTCGTTTCCACATTATAACCAAAATCAAAGGTGAAACAAAAAACCCAGACAATCAAATCGGAAGTACCTTTAGATAAATATCTCAACGGAATCTCTCTGCAAAAGAGTAAACATAAACAATTCAATTCAACATGCACTAACCCAATATCATAACAAATGAAGAGATAAAACGATTTTTTTGTGGAATGGATTTGTAAGAAATGATGACTCAAGTTCACCTTCGACTGATTCAGAATCGATTTTCTAAAGAATGGATTTTGGGGTTTCACCGATTAGGGGTGCCTAAAGGTACGAGCTTAGGAATTAGGAATTAGGAATGAGAATGATATTTCTTATGGAGAGAGTGAAAAAATACAGAGATTGAGAGTATCGACTAAAATGGAGCCAAAGAAGAAAGAGAGGGAAGAACATGAAATTTTAGGTCTGAAAATTTGGGGGAATTGTTTTTGGAGGCTAAAAAATTTTAGAACGTAAATTTTTTTTCTAAGTGTGGCAGGCCTTTGAACCGTGGAACTCTAACATAGCTTTTAGAATTATGTTTTGCTATAACATATAAGCGTGTTTCTTAAAAAGCATACGCTGATATTTTATTTGAACATCGACAATCTAGCACAGCATTTTGAAATATACAAACACTATGTTAAAACCTAAAGTATATCAACCATAGCACAACTGAAAAAAATGCTATACTAACCTGCTATTAAATCCCAGATTTCTTGTAGTGTCGTCAGGGGCAATCTTGTAATATTGAGAGAACTTGGGCTTCAAGACCGAGTCATAATTGTTCTTCACGCTTCATATCGATCGATGGTACAAGGCGTACATCGATCGATGGTACAAGGCGTACATCGATCGATGGAGTATCTCTATTCGTCATCTTTTACATAAGCGTCGTCGATCGATTACACAGGATGTGTATTGATCGATATGTATCTCTGGATATTGACCTTGTTGTCTTATCTTTATAATCATCTCGGGAAACCTCTCCTTTAAGCTCCATAAGGGCACCTAAATCATCACTTTACTAAAAATGCTCATGAACCTGAAAACATACCTAATAGACTCCAAAACATATATATATATATATATATATATATATATATATATTGTAAAATCATCTTAATACCATGGTTAAAAGTGGGTAAAAACCATGGTATATCAGACGACAACTCGTATTCTTCCCTCTACATCTAGAATGAAATGCAGATTTCATACTTAGTAAATATTTTTATTAAAAATTTTCCTACACACCGCCCAGCGGCAGGGATTCAAAGCCACCAACAGCCAGTCTCGGAAAACTACAGAAATATCATGAAATAAAAACATCATACATCAAAATCATCAAATACGGACGCCGAGCTCTGGCCAACGTTAGTATCAATATCAATCCACGGTTGATCAACTTTGTCACATACGTCCGGAATCTCAGGCCCAACTTCAACCAAATCCGGCGACACGACAATGGGATTCCACTGCTCCCACATCCGCGCCCTGAGATCAAAGAGTTCAGGCTGCATGTCTCTCTTCCGATCCAAACGCTTCATATGCACGGGAAACTCTTCAGCATACGAATAACCCTCGTTCTGAGTGAGAGAAAACCCGTGAACAACACTGCGACACTCGAGATAATCACCGTTTGGCCCGATGAGCGACCTCGGCATTCGAGTAGCTGGTCGCAAATTGCTCACAACGGATCCTCACTTCTTCCGCAACCTCTCTTTTGCCTCCACGGCGAGCACGACGAACTCTCTGGTCACAAAGCTCCCTAAAACGGCGAGAGTTAACCGCACACTCACTCTTTGCGCGAGCTACCTCCCTCTCAACCCATTCTTCGGCAGGGTTGGCCTCGATCTCTGCCCGAAGACGAGCAACTTCCTTT